CGACCGACCGAACGAACGACCGGGCAGTCTACCGGTTAAGCAAAATTTTAGCATTTTTCTTCTTCTCATGGGATATCCTGGGGGACACCCTGGGGGACGACCCCAGTTTTGTTCCAGTTCAGTTTTGCTGCCCACAACATACATACAATGAAGCTTTGCTCCAATTCAGTAATAGTGGTATTAAAGATAGTGTTCTTGTTGACAGAAGAAAGAAGCGTAAGAAAGAAAATATAATAAAAAATTAATTACCCTATAAACAAATCCTCACTTCATGAGAGAAAGAATTGTAACTTTATCAAAATAAATGAAACCAATGACAATTCTAATACATCAATATATTTACAATTTGTCTCCCTACAATAAGAAAAATGTTTGGGAGCACTAATTAGTGCTCCCACTAATTAGGTGGCAGTGGGTCCTGCCATGAATGATGTGATGTTTTGGTCTTGAAGTTGTAATTTTTTTTTTTATTTATTTTTTTAATACATTAATATTATTAGTGGTGATATTTTTAGTGGAATGAATCATTGTTGCTACAATAATATCAAAGTCGTCTCAGCGACTTTGATGGTAATGCTCTAAAGTGGGAAATACACCATCTCTTTGTGAGCATTGAATGAGACACTGACAGTGATGTAAATCAGTGGGCCCACAATACAAATATGGTGCGTCTCATTATGCCAGCCAATCTACCCACCGTTGTTTTTCTTGCCACCATCTCTCCTACTCCCTTCGTCTCAAAATATTGGTCCTTTTTAAGAAATTTTACTTTTTTTAGTAATACATTTATTACATTTAAAAAAAATTAATTTTTCAAAATTACTCTTTTGATAGTACATTTTTTAAGGATATCAATGTCATAATTGTACTTTTTAAATTTTTTATTAATTTAAAAGAAGGGCAAAATAGGAAATTTATATTATTTTGTACTTAATTTATAAAGAGAGACTAATATTTTGGGATAATAAAAAATAGAATAAGGGACTAATATTTTGAAACGAAATGAGTACTTTTTTATTTTATTTTTTAAATACATTAAAAAAATTAATTATCTTTGCTTTAATAACCAGATATTTCAATAAATTAATTTTAATATTCACGTAAAGTGTCACGTCACACGGACTAGACAAATCTCGAATTATAGTGATGTTCAAAAACAAAAAAAAAATTAATAATACTTGATGGGAATCAAACAAATTTTCTTAACTATTAATCAATATTTTGTTATTTTATTTACTTATAAATTCATATATTTCAATTATTTAATTATAAGACTTTTATCAATTTGCACTCTTGAGGTCATATATTTTGACTCCTTTGTTATAATGTTTCGAATCATACGTTAAGGTTATAAAATTTATATTTCTTCCATTGTAAAATATTAATTTCTTAATATCTCAAAATATTAGTTATTTTTCAAAAATCAAAGAATAAAATAATATGAATTTACTAGTTTGTCCTTTTAAATTTATTAATAACACAAAAATACAATTATTACCATTGATATTCCCAAATATATATATATATATTATCAAAAGATAATTTTAAAAAATTAATATTTTTAAAATGTAATTAATTGTAATATAATAAAAAGTTAAATTTCCTAAAAATGACTATTATTTTAGGACAGAAAGAGTATAAAAATGTGTACAATAATAATTGTATAATATTTTAAAATTAGTTTACAAAGTGTTTTAAAAGCACACGGTAACAAGATCTTAATTGTAAAATTTATACAAATGTCATTCTATATTTATAATAACTGTACAAATCTCCGATCTAAGCTTGGAGTTTTGGGGATTAAGAAGTAGAATTCCTACTCTTTTTTATATATAACTCAAAACAAAAGATATTTATATTAATATCAGCTTTGTACAAAAAGTTTAGAATTAGATACATATCTTAACCTAGAAACATTAATACATCCAATACTAAAAAATGCTTCAAAAACAAAGTAGCTGTATTTGTTTCTATTATTAAGAATTTATTACAATATCTCCCTTAAGGTTTGAAAAAAATATATAATAATTCCACAGTTTTGACATAATTATATTAGGTTTTCTTATATTGTGTTTAAATTATAAATTGAGAAAGATCTAACATCCCTCTCTAACTTTTACTAATGGGAGAGGCCAACAATAAATTTTTTTTGTAGTTTAAGATCCCTCACCTACACCTAATATAGCACTCACTCTCTCATTCTCTCTCCTCTCTCTTCTCGCACCAAACAACCCCTATCCCCCCCTCTCTCTCTCTCTCTCTCTCTCTCTTTTCTTCAACAGAAAACAACCATTCTAATTCCGCTAACAAGAGATTCAACCACTACAGCCTCAACAATGAGGTTGCCGATGACAATGATCTAGAGAGATCATGTTAGAGTTGGAGTCTTCGTCCGCAGCATTGTTCGGAGCTTCATCGACATTGACTACGATGGAAGAGTTCGAAGTTCTTGAATCATTACCTTTTAGAAGCTTCCTCGTCTCGATTTTCTTCTTCTCAAGGTCATCCCAAGTTGATTCTTCCGTAACCACATCAACGTTGAAATCCAACACCACTCTCTCTAGGTTTAGAATTAGCTTTCAAATGATACTAATATTCAATCGTAGTGATTTTTACATAGTATTGAAATTTCAATCACACGATGACAATAATGAAGATATATATATATATAGCGAGAGAGAGAGAGAGAGAGATTGAGATCTAAAATTTGAAACTTGAAGAATGAAAAGAGACACAGAGATTACAAAGATAGACACTGAAATCAAGAGAGAGAGAGAAGAGAAATCTGAGAAAGAATTGTTTTGTCTTATCTGTCCGTGTGTGTGTGTGTGTAAGAGAAATAGAAGTGAGGTATGAGAATGAAGCTCAGAGGAGTTGCATTACATTACAACAGTAGAGAGAGAAAGAGATGAAGAGATTTAGAGAGAGAGGGAGAGATTTATAGAGAAATTTGTGCTAAAATTTCTCTAGTTTGATTAAAACAATTTTTTTTAGATCACTCCTTGGTCTACTTGGGTGACAATGTCTATATATGATTCATATATCAGATTTTATACTAGATAATTTTCAAGAACTGATGAAGGGATTTCTTTTTGGTGCAGGATTTGTTTGGTGTAGATACGTGGATACATTGGAATCAATTTTCTCTGGTTTAAAATTGTGAACAAACACAGAGAAATTTGTGCTAAAATTTCTCTCGTTTGACTAAAATAATTTTCTCTAGTTTAAAATCATTGGGTTAAAATTTCTCTGATTTGGTTAAAACAATTTTCTCTGATTTAAAATTGTGAATAAACACAAAGAAATTTGTGAACAAAGTTAGGGAAATTCTCTGTGAACAAAGCCAAAGAAATTTCAATTCTCTATAAACAAAGACAAAGAAACTTGTGAACAAAGTCAGAGAAATTTTAATTTTCTCTAGATTTCTCTAGTTTGAACTCAGAGAAATTTCAATTTTCTCTGGTTTGAACCCAAAGAAATTCTCTACACATAATTTTTCTAAATCAAAATTTCTCTAGAAAAATATTAAGGGACTTTAGCCATTATGAAAATATTTCTCCACTATTACCATCTTGCGATGTTTGGTTCCTTTTTTAGAACTCGTTTTTTGAATTTTTTTTTGACAAATTAGTAACTAGTTTAAGGTTTTTTCTCTTGTTAACGATGATGTTCTTTCTCTAGGAAGTCCAGAATTTCTCTAGAGAGTGAAAAGTCCAGAGAAATTCCTAAATCGAATTTCTCTAGAATTCTCTAAATCGAATTTTCTCTGAATCGATGTTGAAGGATCTTAGACATTATGAAAATATTGGATGTCCTTTATGTTATAAAATCTTAATATTATGGACCCTAAAAAAAAAATCCTCTTATAGATTTGGATAGACCTTTGAAAAATGAAAAGGAAATATGAATGTGAATGAAATATAGTTACATTTCATCAATATTTTTACACACTATTTCATTTTTTCTTCTCAAATTCTCACCCAAATCTATGATTCAAACACAATCTTAAAGTTTTAATTCAAATAATATTTAACTCTATTTTCATCAATTATTTGTTCAATACTACTATATCCACCGAATATTTATTCGGACAATTTGGTCGAAAGGAAATTCAGTAGGTCAAATATTTTTGTTATTTGTTAGTCATACCAGTTATTCCTTATTTATTTGAATAATGCCTATATGTATCAATTGGTATGTTAATTAATATATCAATTGATGATGTGATATAATTTTAGAGATTTTTGATATTTGTAATTTGTATAATGGGTGGAGTCAATAATAATGTCATAATATATATTGATACACTAATTGGTACACTGATTGGTGCATATGATATTGTTGTATTTATTTTAGTGATTTAATACCATTTATTGTGTTTTCACCAAATTTAAAGGAAAATACACCAAACTTCAAGGAGACTAGAATAATCTACCCTATTAATAGGAGTTGTTTGGGGGTACACTATATAAATATTTTATTTTATTTTATTTTTATCCTTTTTAAGTCATATTATTTCTTTATTTTTTTATACATTTTTTTTTTGTAAAAAGTCAAGAAATGCACTTATTTAAATCATTCTAAATTTTATAATTCTATCATAATTAGATCACAATTGGTATAATTTTATCATAAAATTTTACAATATTAATCACAAAATGCGTAATCTTACTACAAATTAACATAACAAAATGTCCAAAATTTTATGGTTTATGTAACAAACGTGTGTGGCTTAGTTATGATATTTTTTGTTACGCTAATTTGTGATAAATTTACATATATTGTGATTAATGTTATAAAATTTTGTGATAAAATTACATAATTTTGTAATAAGGTGCATATATAAAAAGATATATAGTAATAGTTGAAACAGGTTTTTGTGTAAGTAACCAATTTCTTTTTTCTCTTTTCTTTTGTCTAATTTTCGTTCTTAATTTATCTGCTAAAACCTCATCATCGACATCAACTTTACAAAAGGCCCAGCTTTATTGGTTCTAAAGTTTGGTTTGTTTTTAATTAATTAAGAGCTCTGTGTTTGGGTGTGATTCAGATTTGCATATGTAAAAGGTTTCTTGTTGCTTACATGTGCCTTTCATGTCCCCCTGTCCTCTCAACCTCTCCACCATTTCTTCTTTCTTCACCTTTCTTTCTTCCAATATATTGAGCTTCAAGGATTGCCCCTTTCTCTGAACCAATTACAGGGTAATTCCATCATAAACCCATAGCCTCTCTCTCACTCTCTCTCTCTCTCTCTCTCTCTATATATATATATATACACACACATAGATATGTATAAACACACATGGGTTTTTTGGTTTTTGATGGTGGAGAGCAAAAGGTGCACCTTTCTTCACACCCAGGTAAACATGGAGCCTCATTGTTTTTTGTTTTTTTAAATTCTTCTTTTCTCTGCTTTTGTATTCAATTCAATCTTTTTTGTTGTACTCCATGGAGACCACAAAAGAAAAAGGAAAAATAAAATAAATAATAAATAAAAAGAACAAAGCAAATGGAGTTGATGGGTTGTTTGGTAGATACTTGTATAGGTTCTTGTTTGGAATATGAAATAAAACTTGCTTAATTATCATTGCCACAAGGTAAGCAAAAGAAAAAAATTAGATTGTCTGAAATGAATGATTATGACCTGTGATTTTTTGTTTGTGAACAGGACATTGATTTGGGTTATTCAGGAGATGTAAACCGCAGATAACAGACAGAAATCAAATTCCAATTTTTGTTTTTCTTTACAGTCTTTGAGCTCCGAAGCAATCTAGATGATTTTATTTCTGTGTTGCATCAAATAGACATTGTTCTTCTCTTCTCTCCTTTTTTTTTTTTTTTTTTTTTTTTTTTTTTGGGATTAAAAATGCGATTGTTCATCTGGGTTTTTGAGGGGAAGAAGAAGAGACTCTGCATTACTCAATAGCAAAGGAGAGTTTTTTTTTTTTTTTTTTTTTTGGGTATTTGAATACCATGGAGGCACCAGCAGGGTTGCAAAGCACTCCCCGGAAAAAGATGACAAAACAATTAACCGGGAAACGCGATGACTCTCCCCTGCACTCTGCCACTAGAGCGGGGCAGCTCGTTGTCATAACGACTATCCTAACTGGTGCCGAAGCAGAGGAAGACATAGCAGAATTATTGTTGAAGCAAAACCAAGCCGGCGAAACAGCCCTTTATGTTGCCGCCGAATATGGGTATGTTGAATTGGTCAGAGAAATGATCAAGTACTATGATCTTGGAGCAGCTAGCATCAAAGCTAGAAATGGCTTTGATGCATTGCACATTGCTGCCAAACAAGGAGATTTGGGTATGTCTCTAAAATCCCAAATACAAAAACAAAAAAACAGAGAAATTTCTCCGTTTGATTACTCATATTTTCTGTTTTTGAGTTTGATTTTGGGATGTTGCAGAGGTGGTGAAGGTACTAATGGAGGCCCATCCAGAGTTGTCTATGACAGTTGACATATCAAACACGACGGCTTTGCACACGGCTGCAACACAAGGGCATATAGAGGTGGTGAATCTTTTTTTGGTGTCGGAGAGCAGCTTGGCCACTATAGCTAGAAGTAACGGGAAAACAGCGCTGCATTCTGCAGCTAGAAATGGGCACGTGGAAGTCGTGAAGGCACTTGTGTGTAAAGATCTCGGGGCTGCAACAAGGAACGATAAGAAGGGGCAGACTGCGCTTCACATGGCGGTGAAAGGACAGAGCCTTGAAGTGGTGGAGGAGCTGATTAAGGCCGATCCTTCTTTGTTAAACATGGTTGATACTAAGGGCAACACAGCATTGCATATAGCAACAAGAAAAGGAAGAGCTCAGGTAAATTATTGGTCTTTTTCTATCTTTTTGACCAATCGTCAATGGTGGAGCCTTATAATTACTCGATTATTGTTCAATTTTGTTGTAATTGTGTTGTTTATTGAGTGAAATATAACATTTATGAACACAAACATGAGCTGAAATATAATTTTCTCAACAAATCTGAATTGTGCAGATTGTTAAGTTGCTATTGGGGCACAATGAAACCGACACAAAAGCTGTCAACAGGTCTAATGAAACTGCCTTTGACACGGCAGAGAAAACAGGGCAGGCCAAAGTTGCAGCCATCCTGAGAGAGCATGGCGTGCAAAGTGTCCGAGCCCTCAGGCCTCAAGCAAACAATCCAGCCCGCGAATTGAAACAAACAGTCAGTGACATCAAACACGAAGTTCACAACCAGCTCAAACACACTCGCCAAACAAGAAAAAGCGTGCAAGGCATTGCCAAGCGGGTCAACAAAATGCATGTTGAAGGCCTAAACAACGCAATCAACTCCACAACTGTTGTCGCGGTTCTCATTGCCACTGTGGCATTCGCAGCCATTTTCACCGTGCCTGGCCAGTATGTCGATGACCCAGAAAACATCCCTTCTGGGCTTTCCCTTGGGGAAGCTAGAATCGCTCCTAGAACCCCATTTTTGATCTTCTTTGTCTTCGACGCCATTGCCCTCTTCATTTCTCTAGCAGTTGTGGTGGTACAAACCTCAGTGGTGGTGATAGAGAGCAAGGCAAAGAAGCAAATGATGGCAGTGATAAACAAGCTAATGTGGTTGGCTTGTGCACTCATTTCAGTGTCATTTTTAGCTCTGTCATTTGTTGTTGTTGGTGAGCATGAAAAGCGGCTTGCAATTGGAGTGACAATCATAGGATCAACAATAATGGCTACAACTTTGGGGACAATGTGTTATTGGGTAGTTATGCACCGAATTGAGGCCTCGAATTTGAGGAACATACGAAAGAACTCGATGAATAGTAGGTCGCGGTCAGGTTCACAATCAGTGATGTCAGATTCAGAGCTTATGAATAGCGAGTACAAGAGAATGTATGCTATTTAAAAAGCTTTGTATGCCAAAGTATTTCAGAATGGGGCGTAAGAAATGCTTTTTTTTTTTTTTTCCTGCTCAAAGTTCAAAACAATAATGACCGAGAAAACAGGGGAAATTGTTTTCTTGATTCTGGAGGGTAAATTCGGTTAGAAATTATTCTTGCCCATGAGATGCTTATTGTCAAATTTCTACGTATCATCTGTAATGTCTATACTTTCCAAGTCAATGGTAGTTACTTTCTCTTTTGAAATTTGATAACCTCATGCAAGATTAGATGATCATGTAAGTAATTGACTCTAGTCATGGTTTGGCAGAGAGTGTGGTACGTGATCACTAGTGATCACTGGAACGAGTTTGATGGACTAATTTTTTTTTTTTTTTTTTTTTTTTTTTTTTTTTTTTTTTTTTTTTTTTTTTGTCTTCAAAATGAATTTTTGTTTGTATAAAATATTTAGGCCATGTTTGTTTGATTCCATAGGATAGAAGAGATTAAGAATATGGTGGGATTAAGTGAGAAGATTATTAGTGTGATGGTTGTTAAGTTAGAGATATAGGATAAAGAGTGTTTGTTTGTACACCACCAGATTAGTAATACTATAGATAATATTAATATATAAAATTAATATTTTTTAATTTTTAGTATTTTTTTAATATTATAATTTTTTTTTTTGAAAAAATAAATTTTGCTTTAAAATCATATAAAAATTTACTAATTCGCTCACTCAATTTGTAATCCCAACCCCTCTATGGGATTGGTAGGCAGTCCTACCAATGACGGGGATTATTAGTCCAAGTGGATAGTTGGTTAAACCCTTTCCTCATGTCCCAAACCAAACACTTTTTAAGTGGATCCTACGAGCAATTAGTTCAATCATCTTTCCCAGACAGCCAAACAAACATGCCTTGTGGATTAATTTTTGGTAATAGTCGCTTCAAAAAGATTTTTAGCGACAAGATTTTGAAAATGTCACTAATAAATATACAAAATAATTTAGTCCTAACAAGGTTTATATGCAATTATGTTATAATAAATATTTTACATTTTCACATACAAAAATAATATTTTAACAAATTTCAAGATAAATGTGGTTTAAAAAAAAATGTTTTGCTTCCCTTTTCGGTTGAATTCGGTGAGAAGGCAGCGGCCCGAGCCATTTTCTATTGGTCCTTTGATCTGCTGGACCAGGAAATGTCCTAACTAAGCCCATTTCGCATCGGGTATTGATAACAGGCCCATTTCCCAGAAGTTTTGTTCTGTATGTTATGTTATCTCATTTTATTTGGAATCACTAGACAGAGATTAAATAGTCACATATATGGGTGGTGTCAATTGATCTCAATAATTTTTTTAAGTATTTATTTTTGAGTAAATTATACTGACTATGAGATTCGAAAAAAAATATAATAAATTTTACAATTTTAATATAATTACACTGACTTATCTCTTAGTACAATTAAAATGACCATAATTAATACATACAATATAAGTATACAAAGATAAATATGGTAAAATATATAAAGATGAATATGGTAAAATGCACATTATTAGCGTACAAGATATGAAAATATTCTTTTTTTAATTATATAACTAATAAATTGCTTATAAAAATAAGACTTAAGTATTATGTAAATTAAAAATTTTAGGGACCTAACGTAATTATGCTAATTTATGAGATTTACTCTATTTTTTAACAAAATTCAAAGAGAGATTAGTGTAATTTATCCATCCCAAACAGGGAAAACACATATCGGAGAGACTATTAATCCAAAATTTTATTTTAATATCTAAACATGAAATTTAGAATTGAGCAGAACATCTAGCCCAATCCAATCCAATTGTATGGCATGATTTAATCCCCCGAAACAAACACAACCATTAAGTTGTCCAATTCTTTCTATCGGGTGATTATTTAAGTTGTCCAATTTTTTCTATCGGGTGATTATTCGGTAGTCTGGAGTACGATCACACGGTACTCTATAATAATATAATTGATGGAAAAGATAGGATATTAATTATTTGTCTGGTGAATTGTCATCATAGATTGTTTGTTAAAAATTAATTGTGTTCCTTGTTATTCAATACATAGGCAGCCTATCAATATGCCATGGTTTTTAAACATTTTATATTAAATTATCATCGTGGTGATTAATAATTCAGATTATAATATATTTTTTATTATATTTTTAACAAATTAAATGTAAAAATAAATATTCTAATAATAGTGACAAAAAACTAAATTTACAAATGGGAAAAATGTTCTGTAATCCCTATGGTCCTTTGGCAAGTTCTGTTTGGGAAATTTCTATAACTCCAACTGCTATCATTTCTTGTGAAGGGTGGTTTATGGAATGAAATTTCTCTCTCTCTCTCTCTCTCTCTCTCTCTCTCTCCATGCATCAACTGAAACTAGTGGTGGCACTGCTGCTGACTATATCTGCTCTTCCCTTTCCAAGAGCTTCTTCCTCAAAAGGTAAGGCAACCAAGTATTCACATCATTTGAAGTTTCTGGTCCAAATTAATATAAATCCTCTAATTAATTTTTAAGAAAATCATATACAAATCTTCTTTTTAACCCTGTGATGTGCTAAATAAATAATTAATTGATAATTAGAGAAGATATGAAAAATAATTATTTTAAACATTTTAATAAATTGTCGAATCATTAAATTTTAAAAATAAATTTAACATTTGAGTTAGAATATCTTCTGCCTACGCAAACCTCCTCATCGATTGCGGGTCATCAAATCCAACCTACTAAACCCCAGATGGTATCCTCAAATGGCACACAGACCAAGACTTCATCAAACCAGGAAAAAACCAGATCATCAAAATCCTCCCAACCAAACACACAGTAATTCAGGCCATGAACCGCCTTCATTTCTTCCCCAAAGGCAACAAGAACTGCTACAACTTACCCCTTTTCACCCAGTACTACAAGTTTCTGTTTCGAACCGGATTCTACTATATATGGAAACTGCGATGGGCTTTCAAAGCCGCCGAGCTTTCGACTGGATATTGATGGGAAGTTTTGGGCTAATGTTACAGCTTCAATGAGCGAAGAACAGGTCTATCATGAATTGCTTTATATCATCAAGGGTGGCAACGTAACGGTGTGTTTGGTTCAAACAACAGATGATGAGGTTCCCCTTGAAGCCAAGCAAGGATTCTCTAAAGTTTTTTTTTCCTAAAGTTTCCTAGAGCAGTGCATTATGTGGTTGAGATTTAATGACAAGTCACGTCAATTTTTTAACATTAAATTTCAACCACACAATACACCACTTTAGGAAACTTTAAGAAAAAAATGATCCTTGGTGCTTGAAGCCACTTTACAGTGGCATGATTCGTATAAGTTCTTGGATAACAACACGGCTCTGTATTTTCATAGCAGTATCAACTATGGCGCGGACCAAAGTATCAAGTAAGTGGATCTGATTTCTAATAGAAATATTCAAAATTTTACTCTGAAAAATATTTAGAATTTGAATGCAAAAATGCCAGGTAAACATAAATGTTACACACAAAATACCTAGCGAGCATATTGTGAAGCATTCACCCAAAAAAAAGCATATTGTGAAGCAATACTAAAATTACAGACACAATCGATCCATTCTTTGTGAAACCTGTATTTGATTTTCTATGCACGTAGATTTGTTACATATTGTGTGGGTGAATTTTTTAAGGTATGGCCCACAGCAATGAATTTCAATGACATACTAGATTTTATGTTTTATGTTTTTGTGCATTTAGCATTTGTGATTTGAATATCAGTTATTCAGAAAAATTATCCACAATTTTATTTAGAATTGAAATGTACACAAGATTTATTTTAAATATGACTCATAATATACTAATTGATTTTAAATTTATAACTCACACATTATTTTTGACATAAAATTATAGTTAATATTTTTTGATAATTAAAATTATTTTTTAAATATATACTATAAATTTAAATTTGGTGAATGTGAATACACTCAAATATAACTAACCTACATATTATTAATTTTGAAGCTTTTTATTTTTTATTTTTAATCGCAGCATTGTTGAATTTCTAATCCTATTTCTCCAACATTAAAACTTTGGGTTGTGTTGGAAAGTGACTTATAAGTTAATTTTTTGACTTAGTATGAAAAAAATATACAAAAAATATTGATATAGTGTAATTCAAATAAGCCAATAAATTAATAAACTAACTTATAAGCTTGTTTAACAACGCATAAGCTTACAGAGATAGCTTTCATTCGAGTGATAAAGGGCATTAACTCGCATAGTTAGCCCAATCATAATGGAAATTTATTAAATAATATTATATGATGTTCCCTATATGATATTCTAGCAAATGGGAAATTATAATTTACACTACGTGGATCATCTTTTATCTTCCAATTACATAATAAGAGTGAATTATCATGTCTCGCATGTTAGATTTACCTAAAGATGACTATTGGCCAGATGGCTCGCCAGCCTAACTCAATATTTTTGAGAGTTTGAAAATATATATATATATTTAGTTTATGGAATCAGATAAGATTGAAGAAAATATATATATATATTTAGTTTATGGAATCAGATAAGATTGAAATTTTGAAACCATTTAATTTTCAGGTTAGGCTTGGATAAAAAAGTTTTAACCTAGCTGCCCTGCCCACCTATTTATAAAATATTAATTTTAATTTATATATATTATTTAGTTATAAAATAAATTAGAAAATTAATAATAGATAAATAATAGTACATATATATATATACACCTCTTTCTAAAGTTTAAATTAAAGCATTTCTTAAATGATCATATTTATTTTACAATTAAATTTTGTTAATGTACCAAATACAAATAATTATTCAAATAGTCTAAATAATTTAATAGCCTTTCAAGACATAAAATAAAATAAAATTAATAGTTTATATTTATTAAGTTAAGTGGGCAAGTTTGAAATTTAAACATTTTTGCACGACTGGGCTTGGAATGACACATACACTATATAATGTTGGTCGGGTCTGAACACCCAGTCTAGCCCGATGTTTGTCCACCCTTATGTATCACTATGCCATTAGTTTGGACAATCGCATAACCAATGTGACATAATATTCTGATGGTACCCAACTAAATAAACTATGTCATGTGATGATACTTACAGACTAGATAATAATCTTTTAGTTTGGAAAGAGATAAAACAAGGATGATAATTGATTACAATACTTACATATTGATTTCTTCACATCACAATTGATTGATTACTATGATGTATAT